TGCCATATATTTAACCCGTTTGGGAAAAGTGTCTGTTCTGTTAGATTTGGACCAGGCATACTGAAACTAAGAAACTGTCGTTTTCTGGACCTCACTACCTAGGTAAACTGAAGCGAATGAGGGGGCGGGGTGTCGTGGGTGGTAGAGCTGGCTTGTAGGGTTGTTCAGCCTTTCTACGTGCTGCGCACCTATTTACTCATATTCTTGTCAAACATGTCAATGACCACAGAGCGCGAAATTTGTCTACCCCCGAATCCTACTTCATTTCCTGCCCCTAACAACCTCAATGTCCCTCCGGTTTCTCCCTCTACTCTCAGCCCTTTCAACTGTCTGAATCGTATTTGCCCATCTCAACTATTGGCCTTCTTATTCAAGTTACTTGTAGTAACCTGTTCTATGACGAGTTACCTAGCCAAATTTGGTCAGGAGCTTAAGAAGCTTTACTCTTTATTGAAGATCACGTTTCCACCCAGACTTAACTCGAACACGATTAAGGAATCAACTGCCTTACCTTTCTGCGTATAACCCTAAATAACTGGTATTGTGCCCCAAAGTGCTAGCTGTTCGGTACCTGCTCAACTTCAGTATAATTATTGCAAAAAGTTCCTCTAGTCTTTCAAGACTGTTAATGTACCTAGCCTCATGCCTGGAGTAGATTTTCGATATTATTATACGCTCTTCTCAACGCTATGTCCCCTCCACTTGTAAAATATGACAATAACTTATCTAATATTTTTCAATAAACTTCAATGGGCTTACTAAACTTACTGGAAAGCCTTCATCCATTACAATTTCACACCAAGTGCAAACTTCAAGAGTTACACTGCACCCGAACCAGTGGTCCCCTTAAACCTCAGACACACCAGCAGGGAGAAACAAGTGTCCTTCAAATATCAATTGATTGCGACCAATTAGCAGACTCCCCTCAATTTATATTAATATACATTGCTCGAATTTCCCATTATATTAAAAGGAAATAAAAGTCATTACCTATAAATAAGTTTGCCTTTGAACCCACCGGAGTCTATTTTCAAAAATGTTTATTGCTACACATGGGAGAATGTCGTTTGTTAACATACAATCTAACTGATGGGTGTAGCAATTTGGGTAAGGATATGTTACACTTTCTCAAACATGGATATTTCGGCTGTAGGTTAGTTACACTGCATTCAACAGTGTCCTGAGAGTAAGCTATGACGATATATTAAAGGTGATCATTCGTAGCTCAAACTGGCAAACGATGAGGACAGTACATGACATGCGATGAGTTCAAATTATTGCTCTGATCTGGTACTTACCTAAAAATAAAATTACAAGATATTCAGATGGAAATATACAGAATTAGTGGGGTGCGCGATAGACTTACCTCCACGTGGTGCACCCTGGACAACGTATTTTCTTACGGCAAAAAAGTCTATCACTCGTCATTCGATTTTGACTTCGATTTATTATGATTAGCTTTAAAAAAGGCTATAAGAAAAATCGCCCTCGTCAGGGCGAATCACAACGTCTTCAGATCCTCCAGTGGAATGCTGGAGGAATGTCTCCGGACAAGAAGATCCAAGTCCAGAAAATCCTACAAACCTATGATGTAGACATTTTCACAATTATGGAAGCAAACATTTCAGATGACAAACTGAAGTACTACCAATTCCCAGGTTACACCCTGTACAATCTACCTAAATACCGGCAAGTTGCAAGTGGAATTCTAACTGGAGTTAAAGAAGGCCTTACCTCACACTACGATCTAATCAAGAGTATGGGATCGACACAAGACAAATGTGAAATAATCAGATTAAATGTTTGGAAATGCCAAAACCACTTCAAGATATATGCAGTCTATAATCCACCTCAGAATTGTCCCAACTTTGACATTCTGAACATCTCACAAAAAACTGTAGTATTGGGAGACTTCAACCCCCAATCCACCAGATGGGGCTACAAGGATACAAACCTAGCTGGAAAGGAAATTGAAGACATGCTAAACAGCAGCCCTCTGGAACTTATTTACAGCAATGAGGATCCGTCTACATATTTGCACTACAATGGAACCAGAACAACTCCTGATTTACTCTTGTCTTCAAGCGACATCAGTGAGCATACATGTCGCAAAATAATTGACGATCCTGGTTCTGGTCACAAACCAGTCATTGCTAGTATTACCATCGGCAGCAAAAGCATGTCAAGGAAAGTGCCAACTAAGCTATCATGGAACTTCAAGAAGGCTGACTGGCCTAGATTCACTAACCTTTTAGACAATGAACTTCACACAAGTCCCCTCAACTTCAACCAACATCCTGGCAAACTTTGCAACGAAATCACGAATATTATGATCAGATGTGCAGAGAAAACTATTCCCCGAGGCAAGACTAAACACTATCGAGTGTTTTGGTCTAAACACCTTGAGGAACTGAAAAGAAAGCGNTTCTTCAGCACCTATGAGAATAGACCAAGAGACCTGAAAACGCAATCTGGTCTAATACAGAAAGCCATAGAACTGAAGAAAGCATTACAAATCGATGACAAACCAAAAAGCCTCTCTCTCCCCGTGAACCCATTAGCAGACATTGATGTAGTGTGTCGCACCCAACTGCTCGACTTCTTCAGGAAATCAAACACTCCTCCAGAGCAAATGCGCTCACTGGCCCTTGAGACAATCAATGTCAACTATCCTGGAGATCAATGGGTCCAAGTCTTCACTGATGGGTCATACATAGAAAGCCAAGCAAACGTTGGCGCAGGTGTCTATTCAGAACTCTTCTCTTTCTACACAGCAGCGGGACATAATAGATCCGCTTTTGAAGGAGAAATAGAGGCCATTAGGATAGCACTATGCCAATTATGTTGCCTGGATACGAAATTCACCAAAGCATTGATACTTTCGGACTCACAGTCAGCAATAAACTCAATTGGAAACAGAGAGACACCCAAAACAGCTGAGATATACGAATGTAGAAAACTCTATCAGCTGCTGAGTGAGAAAAACAGAAAAGTGGTCCCACAATGGATTTCTGGTCACTGTGGCAATAAAGGAAATGATTTTGCTGACACACTTGCTAAGAAGGGGACAACGATTTTGTAATGCATGGACCGGCCGACGTCTTTCCACACAATGAAGGCCTTAATCAGGAGAGAATTCCAGACCTCAAGGTGCAACGAAATTAAAGCTCGAACAAAGGAGAAACAGTGGACAGTGGCACTCTCCGACATAGCTGACTGGCCAAGAATCGAAGCCGTTGCTGAGTTTAGACTACGTACCGGACACGATTACCTGGCAAAACACCTTCACAGATTGGGAGTATACACTCAACTCACATGCCCTCTATGTAACCTACAGGAGGAAATGGAGAAGACCCACCTGATTCGGTGTCCAGCCCTAAAGACAAGGACGGAAAGCCAAAGATACTGGGAAGCAAGAAGACAGCTAATGAATTGCTATTAATTAACTGCTATAAATGTACCCCAAACCCTTGGGGGAAGCTGAAGTCAAAGATTAAGGGCTAACGATAAATATCATAAAGTCTGCCATTTGAAATAAAATATACAGAATTAGTAGAATTTACTAGTATTTGCTTTTATTTAATAGGCTAATGACAGACTCTTTTGTACCATTTATTTCCTGACTTCTTAATCTTTCTGAAGGCCAGAACAGAAATATAATATTAACACATTGTTATTAAATTGCACATTAACATGTGAAAATAATGATTGAATTAAATAATATTAAAAAATTGCAACGACTTTAGATTTTGTATAACTTTTAGAATAACTTTACCGGTAATTTTCTTTGTTTTAATAAATTACATAAACTGCCCTTCGCGGAACCAGATAAGCACTTTTTTAAGATGTACTTTATTTTCGTGTTTTTATCAGTTATCGGTATTTGCATTTTTGTGCCGATATTTTGTACAGTTTTCCCAAAAGCGGCCATTCCCCTTATATATCTCCACTGTTGTAAGCTCAATTAGTCTTATTTTATTACAGTAACGTAGCATTAAACGACACATTATATGAATGTATTTTTTCAGTATGGTATTTACTTTCACTAATTAAAGCCATCATTTCGTTATTTTAGTTAGGCTTGGCTCAAGCCAAAATTTTAGCGATTTTTCTTCACACGGAATATTAGATCATGCTGCTTCAGACTTTTATATAAAATCCGATTTTGATGGAACGCCGTTAGGAACATGGTAAGTTAAAGTTGATTTATATTAAGAAAAATTCGCTCAAGAACCTTATTTAATTTAAAGACATTGCGGCTTTTACAGGCACATTCGACCAAACGCGACCCATGACTTGAAATTTCAACATTCGCAGAGATATTTGAACTTTGATACTATTTCGAATGAAACCCCAATTTTTTTATACTTTCATGGAATGGGTTTCGATCGCGCTCATCCACACAGAGTGGAGGTCTACAAGCTTCTTTCTCGACTCGGATATCATGTTATGACTATCGACTACCGGGGTTCGTATCGTTTGTTTTGTACTTCTAGATATTAATATTTCGAATATCTTAGTGGAATCTTTCTATTTAATTATTGATTGATTTTTATTATAACAATAGTTGCCTTAACTCTACATAGTAAAAAGATAGAACAGCGATATGAATTTAACACTTTACTTCTAAAATGTCCGTCACCTACATGTGCAAATTGCTCGACATATAGGACTAATAAATATAATGTTATTTCGGTTTTGTATTTAATCTCTCTCTCTCTCATTTATTACATTTATTGAGAAGTAATAAGCTATTTATTTTAAATCTTGACTAATCGAAATTACGTGGATGTAACACCTTTTTAAAACGTAATTTTGTCACAATATTGATTTCGTTCATTGCCGTATTGTTTTTATTATTCATTGAGGATCGCTTTATTCCCTTTTCCCCGTGGTGTCGAAAATGTCGCTTTGCAGAGGTGTTTGATCAATTAAAACATGAACTTCTGATTAGGGGGCGATAAAATGTAGCACAAAGTATTTTTTTGTGTCTGGATTATTAATTCCCATATGTTATTTGTCTACGTGTTCCCTTCAATCCTAAAAATACGCTTTTTCACATTTCCTGAGATAGCATGGAGGCCATTCGGTTTTTGTTGATCTCCTATCTTTACTAATATCTGTAGCAATATTTAGTTTTTTGTAGTGTTATCCCTAGGGAGTAACTGAAGGATGATTCCTTAAGTATTTTTAAAATTATCCCTAATTCGCATTTTCGATGAAAATGACTTAATTTTTCTCCCATGTCTAGACAAGGCTATCGATTCGCATATTTTCTATAACGGTCCCCTTCCCATTGCTTTACGTTCATGTTATCATGTGCGTCCTTGCTCAATCGACTCATATAAACTGCAAGGATTTACGCACATCATACACGCAAGCGTTCCACCTATCTGTTTATATAATTTCCTTTCGTCTCTTCCTCATTCACTCTAATTCTCATCGTTGGTTGCTCAGTACACCGTGGTGTTCTACTGTTGGAGACATTCATTGCTTTTGTTAGCTGGAAACCATATTTATAGGACCTATAGTCTCACGCTGGTTCATTAGTTCTTTCAGTTTAGCGATCTTGTGAGCATTCATCGCTCCGTAGAGGCTATAGCCACTATCCAACGCAACCGCCAGAGAATCCGAATCGGCTCCTGATGTTGTTGTCATCTGGTGGTGCGCAAACTAGGTGAAGGGAAAAATCCTTATGGAATTGTATGAACTTATGGATCCATCCCTTGCTGGTGCTAACCGGTATTTTGAGCAAAATCTGCGTCTGGAAAGACGACCAAAAATGAAATTCTCCACTTTGAAGGGATTTTACTCAAATTTTGTTTTCTCTATGTCTTTTTTGCATACACGTATTTCTTGTTGGTTTTGATACTAATATTAATTATAGACTATTCACTCTCTTAGGTAATCTATGATTTCATCCTGGTTGTCAGTGGTTTACAATTCCTAAATCTATATAAATTACTTTTTATATACTTTTCATAAACACCTTCTTTCTTCTGATACCTTTTTTTCGCACCTGCATCCTTCAAAGGAGGTCCAACTTTCAATAATCCAGGTGTTTACTTTGCTAACTAGTCTTTTCTTTGGGAAATTGTGAGGTTGTGGGAGATGCTTTGAGGTCATCCATGTGCCCTTGCTGTTTGTCATCCAGGAAATCACAGCATCTGGAAGTGTTGATTTCATTAAGAGTACTCTACAAACTGACTTGGTAGATTATGATTTCAAAGTTGTTTCTTTTTGTGTATTTTGGGGCGCCCATCTCTTTTCAGAATTGAAAGGGAAAAACCACAATTGTGACTTCTGAGTTTCAGGGGCTTTGCTTAACCAAACTCCAGTCCTCACTCAGGTCCTCTTAGGTTTATTTAAAACAAAAACGAATTATCTTTCATTTATAAGTGCCTACACGATGATGACAAATGCATTAAATTCTGTACCAAGACCTACTTTTGTAAAAATCTCTTAATTTTAGCAGTGTTTTCTATGCCTAATGCATCCCATGTGAGCCTTGTATGTGTGCTACTGGATAGTAATCAGAAATCAAAAATCCTCAGAATATTTGTGAAAATAAGACGGAATGCTGTTGTAATTTATAAGTTTGAGATGCACTTTAGAGTATGCAAAACAAGCACACATGGTAATGTTTTTTTCTTTTGTACTAACAGGTTTCGGTAATTCTGGTGGCTATCCAGAGGGAGAAATGGACGTAGTCGCCGACGCAATCTCCCTACTGCGCTACGCTCGCAGTCTCGCACCACATTCTCCAGTCTTTATTTGGGGCAGCTCTCTTGGAACTGGGTGAGTCTCTCTTAAAATAAGGGTGCAAAATAACCTGCGTCCCGCATTACCTACCTTTGTGTCGCGCTTGATTCATTTTTGTCCTTTTGGAGGCATTTAAATTTAGCCGCATTTATTATTTGAATGAAGTACCTCTAAGCTTTTACCCTACCGATAGGAGTCTAAGGCAGTGAAATACCAGTAACCATGTTTAGCCAATTAAATTAATGTAAGTAGAGAAGTTTTTTATTGGCTAGTAGACAGCCAATAAGAGATGAGGAGAGGATTGTAGATATTTAGATAAATCCCAGCTTTGTTAAATGTGAAGCAAAGGGGATTATATTAATCTACCATTCGATCACATCGCAGTTAATGTCACGCCATTGTTGCAGAATGTATTTTGCCAATATTTTCATTGAAAACTACTGTGAAATAATAGTTTTTTAATCTTAGACTTAAGTGAAAAGAAATATGAATGAAATTTATGGTGAAAGCTAGAATCAAATTAATGGCGAGCTTGAAACCGGCATTATCGAGAGTTTGTTATTTGTCAACCACTCATATGTTCTCGTTGGATTTTAAAATTTGCAAATATAGATCTTCCGATTTTCATGCTATTGTGTCATAAAAAGACTGCGTGGTACATTGCACCTTGGAGATATTTAAAATTCTTTCATGATCAAAGGTTCTTAAAATTTTCCTTTTTTGAAATGACAACTTATTTGGAATTTTCTTAATAGTGAAACCTGCAACCAGCAACAAGCGTATGACAGCTTGAAATTTCATGTTTTTTAACTGGCTATGCATTAGTAGGAAATGATAGTTAAATGAAATATTTTCAATAAGTATATTTCATTTCATTTATTCAAACAGAGTAAACCATCAAGATAATGGGACAAAACTGATGCACTTATTATAATATTGAAGAAAACATTTTGAGTTTAGGTAGAAATAACTACATGTGATACACCCCCAACACCTATTCTAACTCTCATTTCTGCGCTGTTTCTGGGATATTATCTTTACATCCTACGATTTATGGCGTTTTGCTTTCACAACCATACAAGTTATACTATTTTTCTTACTGGAAAAATATTTCGGACATTTAAAATAACGCCTTATGGAGGCATCAGAAGAATTGCAGGAATAGCTACTCGACCAATGATCTTCCAAAGTTTGACAGGAGACAGTAAATTTTCTCCAAAGTAGAAGAGAAAGTGTGAAATACCATACATGAGTTCGAGCTTAGGATAATGGGGAATAAATAGTAGCGCAGAGGGAGTAGAAACGGGCTTGTTTTAAGATCGAGTAGGCCTTTTTTCCCTTGGCATTCTTTGAGCAATCAAAGAAGAATTGTCATCTTTCAGTTGCGTCAATGCACACATGGGAGTCAGCATATGTGCCCTTTGGGAATACTATACTTAAACAAGTTTAATTGAACCAGTATTCCGGTTTCTGATATGATATTGGCCACATGTTGACGGTTTTTTAGTAATAATAGGGGTGTTTGAAAAAAATGATACTTTGCCTTTAAAATACCCACCGAACTTTAGAATAAGGCTAATGAGAGTTCAGGAAAATTAATGAACCAATGAGAAATAAGTGACGCTCAACTGACATTGTTATATAAACCGATTGGACGACGTTATAAAGTACAGGTGAGAAGGTATAGCTCCGCTACAGCATCTAAGGCAATTTCAATCTAGTCAGAAGATGGAATATATCAATTTGATTTTTACTTCCATGTCTTAAGCATCGCTGGTTCGGTGGTGAAAGTGCTGAATGAAACGAGTGACCTTCGGCCACCCGAGGGGATTGTTCTGGATGCACCATTTACAAATTTGGTGGCTGCTGCATATCATTCACCTCAAGGAAAGGTGAGTTTGCCTCAGACTGATTTAAACACTAGCATATATGATCCTACTTGATAGTGAAGTACCATCTTCCCAATAAGAAACTGAATTTCTGTTAACCCAAATTACCAGCCAGACTTTGCGCGTTTGGCTATTCCACTCACCTAGTCTAGTTGATCAGAATCTCACGATTTTCAAAGCCTATTAATTGAACCAAGGTAAGTCGCCTTAGTGTAATAGAAATCTATCAGAAGGAAGTGGAATAGGAGCGTCTGAAGGTAAATGATGGAATCGAGAAAGAAGCACAAGTATATCGTAGTATCTATATAGTTCGTGAGGCGTTGGGTCATCATTTGGGCTTCTCGAGTGTCTGAAGGTCTTCAAGTGTAAGCGGGCTCCTCTTCCGGATAGTCAACTAATACAACATTTTGATTGGCTGGTGAGATTATAAGCATAGATTGTTCTGATTCGTTATGGGGGTACCCACGTGTGTCACTTATAGTCATATCAATAAAAGTTGAAGATTTCTGCACCAGCATGTCAATAATGGCAATAAAACTAGTGGCTGACTTGGATACCACCCGGGACAGGAGAATTGTTTATCCTGATATAAAGATTCATGTTATAAGTCAAATTGAATGCGCTTTGTTTAAAATGACTATCGTTAGTTAAAATAATAATTATAATTCACGTTTATTTTTTCTAATCCAATCAAAAAAACCTCTTGAGACAAGCCTTTTTTACTTTTTTCCTTATTGAACTTGCGGAAGTATTGGCTTTAGCAAAAATAAAGTGCAATAGCTATTGATGTTATCTTCAAAATAAAGTTGAAGTAATTTAATGTTTTGTGATTCATGATTAGTTCCACACATCATAACAAATTAAAACCCCTTTAACAATTAATTAACAAATCTGTTACTGGATTTACTTCCCAATCCTAAGTTTTCAACTGAAGCGCGGTACACTTTTGACGACAATACGTCTTGACTGGACTGCTACCTTTCTGGTTGGAAGAGGCGTGGCCGATGTTTACGTCATCCAATAATTATTCCCTGCCTTGGGGTTGTCCCATTGTTCTAACATAGCCATAAATGGCAAAACCGTGACTATACAATAAACCAAGTTAAGTAAAGGCGGAATAGATTATCTGTGCTTAAAAATATAAAATGTAATTCAACGTGTGGTGCTGAGAAGCAATTTCAATGTCAATTTACCGGTCTTCATTGAAGAGAGGAAGAGACCAAACACATATAATTTAGAGTCTTCTTTAAAACCCGGATTATGTATGGGCACTCATTTTCCGTTTTGTAGGAAAGTCTTTGCAATGGCTATGAACCTTTTTACTGATCCACTATCATTTCTTCAACTGAAAAAACACTTTCAATATTGATTAGTGTATTGATTTTTGAGCAATTTCTTGGCTACTCAGAAAGCAAGAGATCCATACAGTGCTCAAATTGTCAACGCGGAGTTTCACGAAATGATATTGGACAAAATTGATTGATTGTTAAGTCATTTAAACTAAGAACAACATGAATTTATTCGTTCCTAATGAGTTGGTGGAGAAAGAAATTTTCATCCGTATTCCAAGGAGAGAAAACCTGTTCGTTTGAGTTGAGCGACAAGGCACTGGAGTTCTCTTTTGTTCGATATGCATAAATCATGGTCTCCTAAATGATCGTATGGGGGTTTGACCGAAATTGCTTACAACTTCATTAATATCTTTATTCAATGCACTTTGTTTCTATTTGAATGGACATATTCCTAGATGTTTGTGGGGAGCGGGGAGGGGAGGGGAGGGTTTCCTCATCTTTTGTTTATTCATTTTAAATGCTTTCAAAACTTTTATTCATGAAATAGCTGGTGAGATTGAAAAAAAACCATCTAATGAAATATTAAGGAGTGGGAAGTGAAACGATATTGGGTATTAAGTCACTGGATCAAAGAGGTCTTAATTCGCTTTTGGTATTGAGATTGCACACCGTTCACTTTGTTGTTATATTTCAAAATTCAAATTTCACGATTCATCCTCTTAGTTGCTAAACAATAGAATTATGGCAGTACTTACTAGGGCTCGCACAAGATGAACTCAAATAGCGAAAGCAGTAATGAGCTGAGTGCTTGAATATTTCTAACACACACAAAGAATTTAAATACACGACAGTATTGTGTAACTCTATTCGCTCACCCGAAGAATTTACTCCTTTATTTAAACAGTAAAGTTGTCATTTCCGCTTGCTTAGTGTGGTCGCAACACGCACCACTGATTAGTGTTTAATTAACAAGATTAGTCATCCATGCTATAACCTAAATGCGCATATTTCCTTAAAAGATTCACTAGACATACAAGCAAAAATGCCACCTCATAGGCAGTTTATTAAGCGAAGGAAATTCCGAACTCTTATCAACAATACATCTGTTGGTCGAATAACAGTCAAATAAATTCTAGGCATTGAAAGACAATGCTTCAGAATAAACCCAAACCATGTGTTCTTTATTCCGAATTCCAAGGTTTTGTTTGGGAGGAGGGGGTAGGGGGGTGGGGGGGGGGGGGAAATTTGCTGAAAAGTAGCGCGATGCGAAAGCCGAAGTAGGAAATTCCGGGTATGCGGTTGGTTTGAAATACTTCGCCTTCCGAAAAAGCATCAAATTTGTTTTCATTATTTGATGATTTCCTTCTATTTGCATTGATGCTTCAACTGTGCTTTTAGAGGAAAGCAGTCTGTGGATGTTCCAAAAATTAGCCAGTCCGATATAAAATTGAGTGGAAACAGGTAAAAAAACTCCTAATTTATTCCCAATAGAGTGAAGTTAAGGTGATTAATAATGAGAACATGTTGGCTGAATCATTTTTGATGTGCAAAGAGGTTACGATTTACCCTGCTCAAACTTCCAACTAAGCAAGAAGAAAAATGACTCTTCACAGGGCTAGTCCTTTTTGAGGTTATTCTATTATTATTATTGCTTTTATTGGTAAGAAGCTCTACACATTCTAGTCACATGAAAGCACTTTAGTCAAGACATCACCGGATTCGTTGTATTTGAAGTCTTGTAGCAATGAGTTGCCAATCTCCTTGAATGAACTGCCGGATTCATGGTGGAGTTTGTATAAATCTCACTATTCATAATTTGCTGATTGGCCTATTCCCCTGAACCTTCATGCCACTTGTATCCTCTTACACAGTTCAGAAAGTAATGCAAGGCAATGTCTGTTTGCACTAAAATTATGGAGGTATGTAGATGCTTGCAGTTGGAGGAGTAATTCCATTGTCATTGATGCTGAGTGCACTTTCAATTTTATTTTAACTTGAGATCACACTCACGCATACAGAATCTGGAAGTCATTAAAACGCTTACATGTGAGTGTGTCGAGACAACGCGTTTTTTTTCCTTATTTGCTCTTGTGAAGAATGTGTGACTGAGTAATTCACCTCTTAAATAATGACAATATGTGCAGCCCTTCAGGTATTTTTTTGTTGTATTGTGTGTTGGTATTAATTTGCAGGGATCAAATTTCTGAGGCAAAGCTCTCAATCAGCTTAAAGATGACAATGTGCTTGCCCATATTGCAACAGTTGAGCACTACTTATTGATTTAATTAAGGTGCACCTTTCCCCCTCTTTCTTTTCAAGGCCATGCGAGTGGTACTCATTCTGCAACATCTGCTCCAACGCATCTTCTCCTCTCTTGGCATTGCCTACAACTCGGAGGTCAAGTAAGTCGGGG